TCAAGTTATAGCGTAATTCGGGCTCGACTTAATTAATTAAATTGAGTTGTCAACCGTTGAGTCTTCGGCTGTGTGCTCATAAATTTAGTTTCTACACAGACCTATTTATTAATAGACAGATCAAACTATTAAAAGATTACTTGTGATATATTGTATACAACTGGTCAAGTAATTATACACCTTTACTAGACCAGTTGTATACATGTTGAGCACGATAATTCTTGTTTGTCTGGATGTAATTTTCCTTTTGGCATCCGACGGCCGTGTGTGACATGTGTTATTATTATTGTTAAGTTATGATTATTACTGTTTTGTCAACGTGATCTTATAACAAACATATATTGGCTTATTAACAGTATTTAGTTCATTTATTTATTATATATTTTACATTTATTGAATAACTCCTAGGACTAGGACTCCTAGACTTTTAGGAATGTAACGATTGAGTAAATCATTCCAGCGTTTAAATTAAAATACAAATTGATTTATGCAAATAAAGTCCTTCTCTTTACATATACGTGTGTGTGTGTGTGTTACTCATACATATATGTGTGTCAGAATAAAAGCCTTTTGTGCTAAAACTGCGCTATAAAATTTTATTTTTTAGTCTCAGTAAACTCGGGGGTTCAACAAAAAGCCTTGAAACGACTTCATTACATCCTCTTCATGCGTAAACCATATCTAACAATCCTTAGCTCTGTAGAGAGAATAATTTCACGTAAATTACAAGACTACGTTGGCATTGTGTGTCTTAAAATTCAAAGCGAAAAGGTGTTTTTAGAAGCATTTAAATGACGCTGAAAACAATTAATTAGTCTTATGGTTTTGCTGATTAAGAAAATTAAACTTAAAAGTCACTCTTAATTATTTCCAGGTTTGGTTTCGACTCAAGGATCGTTTTCAATTCTAAGGTTTTCAGATCTTTACATAGAAACTCGTAGATCAAAATGGTGTGATGATCTCGCTTAATTCTAGCAGTAAAATTTAGCTTCTTCTTTAGGTTCAGCTGTAAAACTTAGAGAAGTATACCAAGGTTGTCATTTAGAGAGCAGTCGACGTCTCATGAAACACTCGTTGCGGCCGATGAGAGCTAAGTAACCTTCGTTAATGATGGTTAATTAAGGTTACTTGGCATGGCATCCCATTGCAGACCTCAAAACTCGAATGAACCATTTACAAAATAAAATTTGTTACACGTCTGTTACGTGAAAATATTTTAATAACTTTATTTTTGTTTTATTTATTTCGGATCGCCAACAAATGATACATATTTCTTATAAACGTATAAGTACAAATACATACATGCCTTGTACTCATTCAATTATAGATAATCACATCTAACACAAGCAAAACTTGTTCCATTCTAAATTAAAAAAATTTTTTTTTTTTTTTTTTTTTTTTTTTAACATAATAAAATGTATAAAAGAAAAATAAACTATTAGGTGAAAAACTATAATAAATATTTAAAACAGCAAAAATATTTAAAAGCGACAATATACTACGGACTATTAAAATAAAAACTTTTGTGTGCTTTTATAATAAAACCATTAAACAATAGCAGTTTCACTCACGTTAATTAAAAATTTATTTAATAATTCGGAAGAAACTTCAGCCCAACTTTCTTCCGGAAAGATACCTTTTGTCCCTGTTTAGCCACTGCAATCTTGTAAGTAAGATTCATGATGATCGCCCAGTAATTTAGTTATGAAAACGTCACATTTAAATTTTCATTTGCTAAAATAATGGTTAATGATAATATATATATGTTATGTACTCATAGGTAACAACATCAGCTTAATTAATAACTTAAGCTTTTAACGTTGTTACATGTAATACAATTATAGATAATATATCCAATGATTAAAGGGCTTTTATCAAAGCGTCTGACATTATGCGTCTAATGAGGCATTGTTTCAATGTAATTAACGTTATCTCGTTAAACTGTGATGGCTTGTGATGGTTCGTTGTAATTTAAATTATCGAAATTGTTTGTTTATAAGAAGAAGAAAGCGAAGCGATAGAATACAGTAGCTACTTCGTACTTTGAACGGGTTATTCAAGATACGATGGATGATACGTCTCATTTATTTATACAATTACAAATAGGAAAGAAGAAAAATTTGTGTAAAGAATTGAAGAACAGAATTTGAGGCCTTAATAAATGAATAATTTGAGAAAGGTCATAACCACTTACCATAATTATGGTGAGATATGATACTTTGTAATTATACAAAAGTACAAAAAAACAAGAAAATTAGGATAAATCTAAATAATAAAATAAATAAGATGGCTCTTATTACGAAAGCACAGTTACTTTTCCTTACGAATGGTTAGATGATGTCCCTGATCTAATCAGATCTCCTAACAAAGACATGACCCTGAACTCTTCATCATCATCAACATCAACAGATTTTAATAGCCTCCTTTCTAAGGAGAGCCTTAGAAAGGAGGTTATGGCCTACTATACCACGCCATATGGCCAGACAGGTTATAACCTATTGGGGTTATTTCAAAATTTCCTTCTCTTTGCCGTGCTGTTATCCTGCGTAGTTTGCTTCCTTAGTCGGTTCTTACGACACCCACGGGATAAATACCCCTATTTAACAACAATTGGTAACATTCCGAATTCTTAAACTGTTATTCAAACACTGTATATTAAGCGTTGTTCTCTTGATATCAATTGACAGACTCAAAATAAACACAGATACGAAATCTTAGAACAAAATATCATGTTAGTTTATAGCTTAATAATATTAGTATAATTTAATACAGAATCTTATTAATATCAAATGAAACTCTATGTGCATCCACATGGCAAAGCAGCGTAATCGAATGTAATTTAATCGATTTAATTTCACTCGATTTCAGTTCACAATCGAATGGTTTACAAAATTCAGATTCTCAAAGGATATTGTGGATCGACGTGAGTAAGTTCTTTTGAGATGACACGTAAATGTCTGATAAGTTTAGATCAAAGTTGCTGTAATACACAGACTGCAGGGATAGCGTAGTAGTTTAAGCGGTCACCTCGCCACTTCCTACTGCGCTAAATGTTGTGGGTTCGATCCCCGCATGGAACAAGACTTTGTGTGATCTACAAAGTTTTGTTCTGAGTCTGCAATGACAAGACATGTATATTTGCAAAGTCCTCAAGCAAAGTTGTCTTTAAGAAAGAAAAAAATAATAGTACTATTGAACGATACATGATATTTAATTAGAAAATAATTAAAGGCAATGTTTTTTTTTATGGTATAAGGAATCAAACGAGCAGATGGGTCACCTGATGGTAAGTAACTACCACGATCCATGGACACCTGCAACTGAAAATTTACAAATGTCTTGCTGCTCTTTGAGTCCCTCCTCCTAGAATCACGGTTTGAGCTCCGGAAACCTCACTGACTCGGTGAAAACCAACGAAAAAATTGCTTAATGCGTGTATTCTATGATGCCGTGGCATCACTCCAGTCGAGCCGACCAGTCTGCCGAAGCATGGCTCTCCCACGGTACACATTTTTCTTACAGCTGAATAATGAGACAGAGCATACTTGCCCGACGTTAAATCACTTTTTATTTACACATCTCACACACGGCCGTCTGATCCCAAACAAGGCAAAGCCTTCACTAAAGTAACCAGACTGCTGATAAACATATTTATATATTTTTAACTACATGCATATTATAAATAAATTACACCCAGACACAGAACAAATGAACGTGCTCATCACACAATATTTATCCTGGGTGGGGATCGAGCCCACCACCACCGGTTTAGCAGTCAGGGTCACTAACCACTAGACCAACAGGCCCGTAAAGTTTAATTTATGCTTAGTATCGAACTTGGCCTTTATAACGTTATATTTAGAATGCTTAGTCATCACTTACTAATATTATACTAAACACGCTAAACCAGTGAGTTGCCGTCGACTAGGGCTTCTTAATCCATGTGATTCAAGTAAATCTAGTTCACTGCTGGACATAGCCCTCTCCTTACAAAGTAGATTTTGGCTTACCACGCTATGCAGACGGGTCGGCATAGGGTTTGTGTCAAGTTTGTTGCGTAATTTGCTCTCTTAGTCGGCTCTTACGACACCCATGGGATAAATAGGGGTGGTAACATTCCGAATTCTTTATCTGCAATTCAAACACTGTTTATACGAGAAAAGCGTTGTTCTCTTGATATCAATTGATAGTGCGTACTCAAAATAAACACAGATACGAAATCGTATCTTGTTAATTAAAAAACTTTTTAAATAGGGAATGAAAGTCACGTTACAGCCACAAAATTCATCTCACACACATTTTAATACGACATCTGAAATGTTACAAAATACAAATGTTACTATTCCCAAACGTAATTATTCTATACGAAAGTGCTATTACAAAAACAACAAGAAACTGATTTCAATTATTTATTCAAGAAAACATTTTACTCAGATCTCAAGAAAAGTCATTCAATAACATAGAACCGTACGTTTATAATATCAAGACTTATTCTTAAAATATTTACTAATGTATAAAAGAATATTACAATTTCAAACTTACTTTAAAAGCTGGGCTTCACAATTCAATTTAATTCAATTCAATCAATTGTCTGTTTGTGTACATTTTAACAAAAGCCCGTACGACTACACAAAACAATCATTCAAATTGTTATTTTTCAAAAATATTTCAAATAGTTTAGTATCTAGGACCTATTATTATATTATGTACGCCTTTTGCTTGTCTTAATAATATAATAGACAATTGAACTTTAATTAAATTAAATTGCATTGCAAACAGCTAATGTTATTTAAAAGAAAAACAGGTCCAAACGTTGATGAATGAATTAAGCTTGTGTTTGACTATGACGACTATGAACTATGAATTACGAGTAAATGATGACACTGTCACCCCTTCGGAAACATAAATGGGTCCCATAATTTGCGATTTGAAAAATCAACAATATTTCAGAGAATAATTTGTTTATAAAAGTTTAATTTCCATTGTTAAAGTATTCATACTTATTCATATTCTGGTTTTAATTTTTCTCGCCTTGAGTTCCTTTCTGTTCTACATTTACTTGTAGGTGGTCTTTCATGTGTCCCTTGTCTTCGGTGTGAATCCTCATGTTGATTTCTTTTCTCCTTAAGTCTTTCCCTCAGTTTTTTAAACAATCTTTTTTGTTCATTGTAGAAGAACTCATTTTCTAGAGCTGCTTTTCTTTGTTCAACTGCACTCTCTTCGTTAGATCTAGTTTTGTCAAACTTCAGACTATTATCTGTATTTAAATTAGGTTGATCGCTATCAGCAAGTTCTGTAAAATGAGGACAAAACGTTGATCGTATAAGCCTGCTTTACACCTGTAACTACCGACGACAATGTGAATTATGACCCTATTTTATCGTAAGTTTGAGCACTTTATCATATTATGGCCATAAAACGACTACCTCTATTAGTGATTATTTTAAAAGCTGGATGTGGAGAAGTCTCTGATAAGGAAATGGGTATGAGACTGCAGTTACTCCAAAGGCAAGACCCCCGCCTCTTCGTGACTCGTTTGTCTATACTGTGATAAGAGGGGGGCAACTAAAGCAGTGTTTAAGATTATGCTAGAATCAGAGCCCAGAGGATATACCTATTCTATGCATATCATCATAATCATCCTATACCGTTGATCTAGTGGTTAATGACCCTGATTGATAGCCGGTAGTCGTGGGTTCGATTTCTCATTTGTTCTGTGTCTGGGTGTAATGTAGAATTATTTTTATCAGCGGTCTGGTAACCATAACATAAGCTCTACCTAATTTAGGATCAGACTGCCGTGTGTGAAATATGTGTAGAGTTGTTATTAAGATCATAATTTATTAATTCTTTTTTTGTGGCTGGTATAATGTGCGGTATTGCAAGGTTAGAATCTTGGTTAGAATCTTTTATGCGCGACCATCTGTTTAACGCCACTAACAGAATCAAATCAAATCAAATAATTTCAGGTACATAGAACGTAGAGAGTTAAGGAGCTAAGGTAAGAACTACGAGTCTTGGGTGTGGTCTATGGAACACATAAAGATGTCCGTCTTGTGACTCTAGGGAGGTCACTAGAACCTAATTAGTATACATGGACAGCTGTACAATATATGTAAAAAGTTAATCTAAATATTTTTAACCGTTTTCTTTTACAAATATTACAAATCACGCTTTTGGTTGCTTATAGCTTTGTGTAGATTCAGTGCAACTGTAAATAACTAAATTGTATGTAAATTCTTTTTGTGATTTCTTCATGCAATTTTATTAAGTTTTGTCTTAGATAAAGAGGATCAAATTTAAAAAATTACAATTTGCCAGTTTTACTTCGATAGATTATAATCTACCTAAAAATAATGCGTCAAATTGTTAACAGGTTAAAAATTTTCGACAGTTTATAATCTCGAAAGACAGATTATAATCTAACAGTATTTTCAAATTTTTTGGGACATATTTATATAGTATACGAACATAAAAGCACTAAGTCAAATATCATAAGCTTACTTGTGTAAATTCTTGCCCCAAGTCGCAAAAAATTTACAGTGTCTAATCTTTTAGGTACGACTCTCATGTTTGTATATTTGTGATTTGTAATCAAATGTTTGTTTACAAATACCTAAAACTAAGTAGGTACTGCACATATGTTTATAGTTTACAAATCACATATATATTCTCAGAAGTTACATTTGTAATTTTATTGATACGAGTATGTGCGTAAATTTGTCAATACTGCAATGAACGCATCTGTCATTTTGACAGAATAAGAAGATTATTTTATCTTTGGCTTACATCATAAAGGTTTACTAAAAATATAATAACCTCTTGGTATATTCTTTCTTTAGGCGAAACGTAGTGTAGGACGCCCACCGGCCAGGTGGAGTGACGATTTGCGCAAGATGGCTGGCAGGAGCTGGATGCGAGAAGCTCAAATTCGATCTAAGTGGCGTGGAATTGGAGAGGCGTATGTCCAGCAGTGGACTACGATAGGCTGATGATGAATATACTTTATACACAAAATATTATTTTACACGTGTGTATGTCACTGCATTACTACTATTATTTTTGTGTTTGAGAGTGTGCTATGTATGGTTTAGATTCACGACTAAACCCAGTAGCTGGCGCTATTTTTATTCTTTATTGTTACATTTTAAATTCCAAAAAAAATATGAAAGTGGCACTTTGGGGCAGAACAGGGACAAATCACTTCGTAACTGTAATGTGTCAATTCCTCTGAACTAACTTCAAGTAATTTTAAATTAAGTTGAAGCAAAACTCAAGTAAGTTTAAGGTATAGAAACATTAAATATTATGTTCACTTGCAGTTAGAAATATTATTTAGGGCAATAATATTTTTATAGACGGACTTTCAAAACATAATGACTGCCTCAGTGGCGCAGTGGTAGCGTAGACGCCTGCTGTTCTGAGGCCTCGGACTCGATTATCAAGTCGGACCAAATGTTTGTATGCTTTGCAATTATTTGTTTCGAATTTGGGTGTTATGTGTATAATATGTAAGTATTTACAAAAAAAAACCTATTTAAGTATTCTATCAGTCAATCTAGCTTTCATAGTACAATCTCTGCTTAGTTTGAAACTAGATGGCGTTGTGTGTTAGATGTCCGAAATATTATTAAAATATTTTAAAATATAATACATAAATGATCTCTTAAAATGTAACAACGTGCAATGCTTTTATTGTTAATTTTATTTAAAAGAAAATCCATAAAACACACAACACATAGACAACAAGGCAATTAAAATATATGAAAATCCTTTTTAACATTTCTTATTTGATTCATAACATTCAAGATTAAATTTTTATAAATTTTATAGACATTTTACCATTTCCCTATTTTCTCAAGTGTAAGATAAATCGTTCAACAACATACGAGTATATGGTTAACTGACGTCCTGTCAGGGATAGTAGATCAATCCAGATCAATCCGAATCCAAGATGGCGAGGCCATTTATCAAGAACAAGGTCGTGCACATTAAGATTAGTACCGGACCTTTCAACGAGGTCGTACTTCAAATCAAATCAATAATAAATAATCCTGTAGGCTTCGACATAGAGGATTTGTTTTCTAAGATGATAATTGAAAAGAAAAGTAAATTTTTCGGATCAAGAAATTTCTTTTGTTTAATGATATATTCATCCCTATCCCATCCTATTCATCCCGTGGGTGTCGTAAGAGCCAACTCAGGGAGCAAAATACGTAGGACTACAGTACCTCAAAGAGATGGAAAACTTGACTGGCCATACCAACCTGTCTGGCCAGCGTGGTTTAGTAAGCCATAATAACCTCTTTCCTAAGGAGGCCTATGTTCGGCCCAAATCCATATTTTATTAGTAAATCTCATGTCAAACGCAGTAACAATTTTTCACTCTCTTTATTTAAAATTCTAAAAGTAAACAAGAAACAGAAGCTCTAAAAACAAAGAAGTAACGTATAAAGAAACGTGTATATCTCAACACCATTTTATTCCAATAGATATCATATATGGCGATTGGACACGAATAGAAATAGCACATTTGAGCTCATACGAGACCCGTTCGTCGACGTTCAATGTGATAATAGATAGAACTTATTGTGCAGATGTTAACGCTCTTATTATTTGCAAAGAAATATTTTCGGGAAACGGAATATGGAAATAAGTTCTACACAATATTTATAAATTAGTATAGAAATGCTGTTTACGCGAGTGTTACAAATTATTTTAGGAAGAAAATAGAAGTTAAATGGTGTCATTAAATAGGGTGCAATATTTTTGTCAGCAACCGGGTATTATGGGAATGATGACGGGGAATTTGGTAGTATAATTAAAAGAAAATATACCCACGAAAGGATGGCAAGGAAAGGAAAAAGGATTTAAGTTAATCGTTCCAACAATAGTCAGTTAGAGGTATAGGTATAAGGCCCTGACCTGATCGTATAAACCATATTCGTCTTCTCCTCCTTATTTCTTCCCAATTTGCGCAAATAATAGAATTACTTCTTATTATTTCAGTCAGATATCACATAAGCTACCTCATGTTGGTGCCTTAATAATTTTAAAAAATGTCTACAACACGTGGCGTGCTTACCCGCCTGAAACCTTTAAAGTAAATAAAGAAATGCGGAAAACAAAAGAAAGCGGTAGATAAAGAACAAAAACTTAAGGCAGCACTTTATAAATCAGCAAGGTTGACATGAATTACTATCACAACGTGCAAATTTATAGGCGAGCCTTCGTCGCTATGTAATTCAATATGGCGCTAAACAATAAACTACAGAGGTAGTTTTATTTCGGTGCGAGAACAAACTCTCAGCAAAACTTTTTTGGATTTCTTATGAAGTACAAATATTATGAATAACATTCACGATCAAAATAAATTCTTTATCGCCTCAGACATGTACACTATACATATATTGTTTAATTTTAGCTTGTCTAACCAAACTCAAGTGATTTTGGAATGCTATTAACAAATATTTTCTTGTAAGAAAAGTTAAAACATAACAATTACTAACAGATTTTATCCAAGCATATTATACTGACAATATATATTTGATATATAATACAATTATGCCAGTATACTTGAACTATTATAAGAAAAAACCATATCAAAATTTACTAGTAAATGAAAATCTCGATATTGTTTCTAAGAGTTACTTAGTAATATTATTGTGCCCGTCTGGAGAATAACCAAGATAACTATATTGTTAAAATAAATATCTCTCAAATATAAGAGAGTTAGGCAGCGGAGCTTATAGACAAGCTTAGAGTTGTTTATTGCATGAAGATGGGTATCCTCTGGGTTTTCCTGCTCTGGCAGGCGATAAGGGCGGCCCTTGAATTTCATGAGGTGCCGCTCTATCTGCGGGCCGTCATTGGGGCCTATCTGCGCGATAGGACAGTGAAGTTTATCGGTCGGGGCGGGGTGGAAATTCGGAGACAGGTGTGTTGCGGGGTTCCCCAAGGCTCTGTTTTAGGCCCTTTGTTGTGGAACCTAGCTTACGATGTGGTCCTTCGCACCAGTCTGCCCTCTGGCCTTAGTGTTGTCTGCTATGCAGATGACACTTTAATACTGGCTAGAGGGTCACACTTCGACGAGGTGCTTCGGCTCGCCGAGCATGGGGTGGCTTGTGTCGTGGGAAAGATTCATGAGCTGGGTCTGAGGGTGGCGCCTCAGAAAACTGAGGCGATATGGTTCCATGGCCTACGTAAGCGCCAGGAACCACCCAGCTCATGCCTCCGGGTGGGTGACGCTGAAGTCCAGGTGGGCCGGTACATGAAGTACTTAGGCCTCATCCTGGACAGTCGGTGGAGCTTCGAAGAGCATTTCGTGCGATTAGTCCCCCGAGTGCGCGGGGTAGCGGGTGCACTGCATCGCCTGCTGCCCAATCTCGGGGGACCACGGGAAGAAGTTCCATGGTCCTCTATGGGGCGCCCGTCTGGTCTAATGACTTGGCGGGTGCCTCCCGCTGCAAGGCTCTACTCAGAAGCCTACAGCGGTTGATGGCCATACGGGTCGTACGGGGTTATCGTACCATCTCGTTTGAGGCGGCGACGGTCCTGGCTCGATATCCACCATTCGACATTCTGGCCGACATGGACGCGATGGTCTATGACCAAGTCCGTTCTGTCGGTCGGAATGGTGAGGAGGCCGCGCCGGATCATGAGCCCGGAATGCTACGGCGGAACGCGCATACGCAGGCTTTGCGAGCGTGGCAGGCACGGCTTGTAATCCAGGGCTGTGCTAGCCAACGCGCCGTCGGAGCCGTTCTGCCGAGCTTCGAAGCGTGGGTAGGGAGGAACGACTGTGTCACCTACCGATTGACTCAGATGCTTACCGGGCACGGTTGCTTCGGTGAGTATCTGAATCGAATTGGACGGGAGGCCACGGCACGATGCCACCATTGCGGGTCCGACCGGGACTCCGCCCAGCACACGCTGGAGGACTGCCCTGCATGGGAGTCCGAACGTCGAGTCTTGGTCGGACAGATCGGACGAAACCTGTCACCGCCAGCATTAATCGCGGCAATGCTGGCGAGTGGCGAGGGATGGGCAGCCGCGGTCTCCTTCTGCGAGGACGTTATGCTCCAAAAGGAGGCCGCAGAGCGGGATCGGGAGAGGGCCGATCCCGCTCGAAGGAGGCGGCGAAGGGGACGCGGCAGAGGTCGCTAACTCCCCAATCGCCGCCTAAGGGTCACTGCGGCCACATCTTGGGGCGATGTGACCGCTGTAAACGACCCGAGACGGATGACACTCCGGTGCGGCCGGGGGGGTGTCGTCTAAGGCGGGACGCCGTTGCGCCTTTTACTCTGTAGAGCAGTAAGAGGCGCGATAGCGTCCTGCCCCAGGGTGACTACGGTCACTCCGGGATGTGCCTCAGACATGAGGTACGGCAGGGAGGACTCCAGAAGTGTTCCTGGAGCTCCTCCCGACTGCCGAGGAAGGCCGCCGCGGGGTTTAGTGGGTAGACCGGTTCTCCGGGAGTCCCACACACGCCCTGCGTTTCCCCAACGGAGGGTATGGTGCGAAAAGCATTCCCCGCGTGGAAAAAAAAAAAAAAAAAAAAAAAAAAAAGGT